TGATAGTTTTGGTAGGGATCACAACATGAGTTCAGTTTTGAACAGTATGGATTGTTATAAATAACTAAGGGACATCCATATGGAGATGCAGTGTGTCTATCAAGAGAGAGCCCAGGGATAGGAGTCTCCTATATATTTAATGGCAATAAATGAGAAAACCTATAGTTTAAGAAGGAAGAATATATGGAACATGTCTCTGATGCCCCAATGAAACAAACTTGAAAACAAACTAAAATTAGACTAATGATTCTTGCCCAATAAACTCGTGCTCCTAGTGATCACTACTTCTAACTCAAGAGCTCACATTCTTGCTCTCTTTTGAAAAATGCAAATTAAATTTTCCTATTTTCTCTCCACTCATTATAATCTCTAGAAGATCAAATTCATCTCATGGCCAGTTCTCTCGGTATCCAGGGATGGAATCCACAGATAAAAAGGGGCATGAGGTAGGTGCTTGTTATTTTTCTACCATAAATCACTTTCTTATAAATGTATATTCTACCCTTCTAGAGACAAGGATCAGGAAGTGTATTTATCAATAGATATTTATCAACCTACCAAGCCAAAGTGGGTGTTACAAAATAAGTAGGTGTGGGCCCTGCACACAAAGAGCCAAAAGGGACCCTTCCACAAAATCTATAATACACAGGGCTTGTGTAAACCTAAGTTTGGAACTTGCTAAAACGAGTACAGATGAGTACGTGAGTAAGTTGGGAAGTAAACACATATTGCTGGAGAAATAGAGGTGGAGATATGGGTGGATCTGGGTTTGGTTAGGAATGAATCAGACCATCCCACAGAGGGTGGCTCCTCCCTGGTCTGGCTTGCGCTATAAAAAGGCCATTATCCCAGACTTCTGTACCCAGCAAGCTCCTTCGGGCTACGTCCTGTTTGCTCTTCTGGTGAATAAGGTAAGAGAAAATACATCTAACTTTGCCTGCCTACTTAGTGTTAAGCAAGGTGAAAATCTGGATACACGTGTACTGTAAGGCAAAAAGTTCTGGATGTTTAGGGTTTTTTCATTTATTTTTAGTGCTACAGTTCTGAAAATTTATTTCTATATACAAAGAAAATGAGGACATAAATTTGCTTTCCATGAAGCTACTCAATACTCTCTTTGTATTGTTAGATTGTCCATTTGCTCATTCATTCAACAAATACATATGAACTACCTTCTATTTGCCAAGCACTGCTCTTGGCTCTGATTATGCATCAGTGAACTACATAAACTTCCTACTCCTAGGAGCTTATATTTAGTAGGAGGAGACATTGAATAAACAATAATAAATGAATAAGATAATTTTAAATAGTGATA